CACTTCCCAGTGGTCTGGTCACAGGCAAGCTACTTAACCTTTCTGATCCATAATTTCTTCATCTGTAACGTAGAGATGATGATAGTATTTATCTTGTAAGTTTAATGAAAATTAAATGAGATACTGTATATAGAAACCTTAGCTCAGGGCCTTGCAGGTGGTAAATGTTCAATGAATATGTGGAGTGCGTATTACTCATTTCTAACATTAGTTTGATATAGTTTCATTTATTTTAGCTTTTTCTTCCCTTGCCTTTGAAGTCAAATTCATAAAATGGTTTTTGAACCCAAGGACCATTATTTTAGTACATATGTTTTCTTCTATGCAATTTATTGTTTCAGGTCTTATGTTTATGTCTTTAATCCATTTTGAGTTGATTTTGGTACATGGTGACAGATAGCAGTCTAGTTTTATTCTTTTGCACATGGCTTTCCAATTCTCACAGCACCATTTATTGAAGAGGCTGACTTTTCTCCATTGTATGTTTTTGGCTTGTTTGTCAAAAATTATTTGTCTACATTTATGTGGGTTTATTCCTGTGTTCTCAATTCTGTTCCATGGGTCTGTGTGTCTGTTTTTCTGCCAATACAGTACTGTTTTAATTATTGTTGCCCTGTAGTACAAGCTGAGGTCAGGGAGTGTGATACCTCCAGCATTGTTCTTTTTTTTAAAGATTTTTATTGGGGAATTGGGGGATGGGAACAGCGCTGGGGAATTGGGGAAAGGGGAACAGAGAAGTTGCTGTTGCTTTGTTCTTCAGTCTAGTTGTGGAGGTCGTTGCTTCACTGGCCTAAGTTGGCACCATCATTGCGCTCTTCCCGGGCGAGGCAGATCAGTTGCTGACTTCTGGATGGCCGCTCACAGCAGCTGCTGGCCACTCACGCTGACTGCTGGCTACAGATGGTATCCCATGGCAACCCGCTGCAGCAGGGGCTGCAGCCTATGCCATCGCCAGCGACTCATGGCAGCCCAGTTCCAGGTTGAGCTGTTGTTCAGCATCTTAGCTGTAGAGGGCAGTATCACTGGCCTTCATATGTGGGATCCGAACCGAGGTCCTCTGGTGTCCCAAGCCAGCTCTTAACCAACGCGCCACTTGGCCAGCCCAGCATTGTTCTTTTTTTCGTAGGATTGCTTTGGCTATTCAGGGTCTTTTGTAGTTCCATACGAATCTGATGATTTTTTATTCTATTAATTTAAAGAATGTCTCCACTTCATCACCCAGCTGGTAGGTGGAAGGGTTCGGACTAGAACCAAGGTTTATCTGACTTTAAAGCTTAAGCTTTAAACAATGATTCCATCATTTCTCAGCCTTTAGCCTGTAAAATACTATCTTCATTATTATTTCCTTAATATTTTGTTTAAATTAAAGTTTATTGGGGTGCCAATTCTTAGTAAGGTTACATAGGTTTCAGATGTACAATTCTACATTGTGTGTTCACTGCCTAGAGTCAGTTCTTCCATCACCATATATTTGATCCCTTTCACCCTCATCTCCCACCACCTCCCCCCACCCTCTGGTAACCACTAAACTATTGTCTGTGCCTATGAGTTTTTGTTCCTTTGTTTGTCTTGTTACTTTGTTGTTTTCTGTTTTATATACAACATATCAGTGAAATCATATGGTGCTCAACTTTTTCTGTGTGACTTACTTCGCTTAGCAGTATAATCTCCAGATCCATCTATGTTGTTGCAAATGGCACTATTTCATCTTTTCTTATGGCAGAATAGTGTTCCATTGTGTATATATACCACAGCTTCTTTCTCCAATCATCTATCACAGGACACTTTGGTTGTTTCCATGTATTGGCCACTGTAAATAAAGCTGCAATGAACATCAGAGCACATATCTTTATGGATAAATGTTTTCAGATTTTTTATGGGGATTGCATTAAATGTGTATATTGCTTTAGGTAATATTGCCATTTTAACTATGTTGATTCTTCCAATCCATGAGCATGGAACTTCTTTCCATTTATTTGTGTCTTCTTCAGTTTTTTTTTAAATGCCTTATAGTTTTCAGTGTATAGGTTTTTCGCATCCTTGGTTAAGTTTATTCCTAGGTATTATATATTTTTTTGCAATTGCAAAAGGAAAATATTTTTCTTTCATTTTCTGAGGTTTCATTGTTAGTATATAGGAATGCAATGGATTTTGTACATTGATTTTGTATCTGGCAACTTTACTGTGAACCCATTATTCTTATATTGCTCTTTCTGATGGAGACAGAGTTCTTGTACAGCTCTTTCATTTCTTCTAACTATTACGTCTCTTATCTTGTTCAATCTGTGTCATTTTCAGATTTCTATCTTCGATGTCATTGATTCTTTCCTTCATCTGGTCAGCTCTATTACCTAAGCTGGCTATTTCATTCTTCATTTCTTTTATTGAGTTCTTTTTTTAAATTATTTTTTATTGTGAAATACACATTTTTTAGAATTAGTTTCAGCTGTACAACACAGTGCAATAGTTATACTTTTTACCCCTCGAAGTGAAAACCCCC